CTTTGATACGAGACAGAATGAGGCAGCTCCTTCTGCAGTTTTCTAAGCAAAATAGGAGGCAACTCCCTGTGGAAAACTGAGGGTGAGGTGGCCTAGGAAGCTGAAGAGGAATGCAGTAGACTTTGAGATTTAGGTTTGCTGAAGACCAGGGGGGCTCAGTTGACTGGATGGACCCCTAGGGCGCTCCGTGACTTCCCCTAAGCATATTCCGTATCCTAGGAGTAATGGAAGCCGGTGATGAAGACACATCTGGGACAGGGTCCAGAAAGGGAGAAACCTGGGATCCTACCGAGCATGAGCCACCCACTGTGGATTCTCAGTAACCACAGAGCTATAGTGCACTGTTTGAGACTGAGCAGAGTAAGGAAACTGCTTCACTTCCGAAAACGTTATAGAGAAAATATATTGTGTGGTTGTCACAGTATGTACTCTTCTTCCTTGCAGCTTAATACTCTACACCTTGGGTCCCAACCTCCTTCCCTCCTTCATAGCTGTGCCTGTCTGTGCTCAGATGACACCACTCGGCCAGGTTCTCTTTCAGGATTTCCCACTCTCTGCGTCGGTCTTTGTATTCCTTCTGTCTGCTCGTGGAAACTGTGAACCGTGGAGGCACGGGCTCTGTTTTCCTCGGAATCCATAGCTTTGGAACACTGGGTCTCCAAATACACTGGCGTCACCGAATGAATCTCTTTGCATTTATTACTTGGAAGTTCCGGAATATCTTTGTCTGCAGGCAGAGGAGAAAAATTACAAGACCTGAGAAGTTCTCTCATCGAGTCCTTTTGTTTTAGAGACAAAGAGGCCAAAACCCAGAGAGGTCGGCTGCGCGCCCTGGGGTTCAGGCGTTTGCTTGTTTCTAGCGCAGGGTCCGGGATGTCTCATCGCGCTCTGTCTGGTTTGGCTCTAATCAGGCGTGGCTCCATTCGGAACTTAACACAGCTCTGTGGGGACCTGAGCAAGACCCGCAGGACCCTGAGAACCGGAGGTGGGATGCCAGAACCACAAGCTGGAGATGGCCCTTGAGGAGAAAAATGATCTGGAGCCAAATGGAAGAAGTTCTGAGCAAGATGGTCGCCAGGGTGTGCAAATGAGTGACCCAATAAGAAGGTGATCAAAGCTTTGAGAGGCCCGAGTCCAAGAAAATAAGGTACTGTGAGCTTTAAGACACTTCTCTACTTATTTGACAAGTTTTATCAAAGGTCAGGAATGGCTACTGGATATTTACTGCTCTCTACAGTAATTTCTGTGTTTTAACATTATTCTTCAATGCCACTCACTACGCCATTTACATATATTTGTACGGAATTCATAAATTCCTACAAACAAGCAGTGCAATTAGAATCATCGAGTTTTATTCTCTAGGGTCTTAATTCCATTTTCCCTCAAAACATAAATAGGCCAATATGTTGTTTATTTTCAGATGTCATTCTCCTATAAATTTTTAAGAAAAATGTCTCCCGAACATGAACTATCTTGTACCCTACTTATTATTTTAAACTAAAATAAATATTTAAAGTTACATTTCTAAGCATTTGTTTAGCTGTGCTACTTTATTTGCTGTTTGTTTTAGGTGGATCATGTTCTTCTGGTTCCAAGAGTCTTCAGTAACAGCACTGTTCGTACACATTCTGTGTGGCCTGAGGGCATGAAAACAATGCGTATTTTGATTCAGTGTCTCAGCTCAGGCTACGATATCAAAAATACCACAGACTAGGGGGCTTAAACAACAAACATTCATTTCTCAAAGTTCTGAAGGCTGGAAAGTCCAAGGTCAAGGCACTGATAGATTTGGTGTCTGGTGCGAGCCCACCAACTGGTTTATAGGTGGCATCTTTTACCTGTATTGTCACATGGTAGAAGGAGCTAGGGAGCTCTCTGGGGACCCATTTATAAGGACACTAAACCTCATTCATGAGGGCTCCACCATCATGACCTCATCACCTCCCAAAGACCCCATCTCCCAATGTCATCACACGGCAGGATTTAGGCATATGAATTTGGGGGAACACAAACATTGAGTCCACAGCAATAAATAAAGAGATAAAATTGATGAATCCTGTTCCTAATTCACCTGTGAGGAGACATGATTCAATGGAAGATTTAATGTTACTCCCGATGGAAACAAAGGGATGCTCTTCCCAGTCCCCAGGGCCTGATGGCAGCTGCCCAGCTGTGGCAGGGTGTCAAGAGGGCGGATCCTCCTGAACACCCCCTCCCTCGAACCTGAAGGAGTGAATCACTGAAAAGTCAAATGGAAGAAGATAAAGCACCGCGCATGGCTGGGTAAGGAATGTCCAGTCCATTTTAGTCGGGGAATGTGAAACTTTACATTAGGAGACCCTGAAAGATGACCCATCAGAAGCCATTCTTTTTAGATGTGAAAGGGGACGGGAATCCAGAGATGAAGACTTTGAAGATCGTAGTCAATTGTTATGACTCTTTGTTGTTGTTGTTTTGTTTTGTTTTTTATCTTCAGATAGAGCAGGACAGAGAGGGAGGAAGAGAGAGAAAGAAACATCAATGCAAGAGAGACACATCGACTGGCCGCCACCCACACGACCCAACCAGGGCCGGGGACAAACTGCAACTGAGGTACGTGCCCTCAGCGGGAACCGAACCCGGGTCTCCTTGGTCCACAGGTCGACGCTCCGACTGCTGAGCCAAACTGGCCAAGGCTGTTATGACTCTTTAACAGTAGCTATGATGGATTATAACATGAGATTTATTTCCTCTGTTTGCAATATATTTCTCAATTTCATTCAACTTCTCACTTAGTTATCCTCCCTCATTTTATAAATGCTCAAGGAAAATAAATGATTGCCCAGGTTGTGGCCTTGTAGCAGAGCTAACAAAGGGCATTCTGGAGGTGCAGGCTGGCCCTCTTTTGAGTCTTTTATATAACATGGGAAAAATCACCCAACTGCACCCCACCTCAGTTTCCCTAGCTGAGAAGAGCGTTCCTCCCCTGCTCAGCACTGACTTTATTTATTTTTTAATATTAGACATTTTATTATAGCCATTATTAGTTTGGAAGATTTTGAAAATGATTTTTTAATGTTTATTTATTTATTTTTGTTACAGATGTTTCTCCTTTTTCTCCCATTGACACCCTCCTCCCCATCCCCACCCTCAGCATTGTGGTCTATGTCCGTGTTTACCCAAACATGCCTATAAGTTCTGTGGTTCATCTCTTCCCTCCCCCCATGTCCACCTCTTCTGAGGTTTGTCGTCTGCACCCTACTTCCATGTCTCTGGGTCTGTTTTGTTCCTCAACTTGTTTTGTTCATTATATTCCACAAATAAGCGAGATCATGTGATATTTGCCTTTCTCTGATTAGCTTGTTTCGCTTAAGATAAGATTCTCCAGGTCCCTCAAAGTTGTCTCAAAGGATAAGAGAACATTCTTTCTTACATCAGCACTGACTTTAAAAGAGCTTGCTATTCACACACATGACCAACGGAAAATACTACATTTTTCCATTAAATTAAAAGGTACCAACTATAACATGGGTGTGGAGTTTCCAACTCACATACATCACAGTCTCTGGCTGAAAGAGAACATTTAATGGTAAATTACCTTTAGTAATAAAAACAGTTGTACAACTAAAGAGGAGGAAAAAGAAATGTGGGATTTAAAAAAAAAAAAAAGTAAAAACTTTAAAATAAAAGCTCAACTTTGATGCTTACAAAAATCGCATGTGTTTTTTGTTGTTTTTTTTTTCAAGTAGGAGAGTAAGCAATGGACCGCCTGCTGGAATATTCTTCACAGCTCTTAGAAAAGCAGCAGTCAGTGGGAATGGGCAGCAGAAGCCTCCTCGCTGCAGCTGCCCACGCCTGGCACCCCGCTCCGGGGGCTAACCCAGCAGGCTGGCCTCTTGGCTCAAGGGACACCTACCCAGCTGGGACTGAGATTATATAACGGTAAGGTCCCTGTAGCCCTGGCTCATGCTCCTCCTCTTCCCCCGAGCTCCAGAATATTGAAGCATCTGTCAGTCTGAGCAGGTGTCTTCATGCTGCTGGCACGAACACAGGCAGCTAGTTTGGGAAGATGGGAGGCAGAATTCATAGCCGGCAGGCCAAGGTCTGGCAGGTTCACAGAGAGGCGAGAGACTGACTCTAAGAGAAAACTGAAAAATCCCAGCTCTGACTTAATCTCCTGGTCCAACAGGAACAAGTAGAGGTCGTTTTGCTGCTCAGATGGTTCCCATGGGAGGGTAAGCATGACAAACACTCTTTGTAACTCTGATTTCCCTCCAAGCGCTAATATGCTTCCATATTTCATGAAAGCTGTTCTGGAGCCCATCCTGACTGGGAGAAACCGCCTGCGAAGCCAGCACGGGCCTTCATTTCATTCGGTCTCGCATCTAACCATTGTTTCTCTGACCCCAATCTTTCTTCTCTGCTGCTTGGCACAAGTGCCCCCTGCGCCCCTCCGCATCCTGACCGCGCCCCTCACTCAGCGAGGACCAGGCTTGCCGAACCTCGCTGGTCCTGAGAAGACCAAACGCAGCAGCCCCGCGTCCCCTCAACAACGTGAATGGGCTGCAGAGAGGGTGTCCGCAGTCGGAAGGCTGACAGTCACTGACTCCTGAAGCCCCCCTTGATTTTAACCTTTCCCTAATGGGATCGGTTCTGGAACCAGAGCCCCTTTCTGGCACTGGTTTCCTGGCACTGACCCCCCGAGGTGTGGGAAGGCGCCTGGATTTTGTAAGCAGGTGCGCACTTCCTGCAGAGAACGTGCAGGTGGGTCCCTGCGTGGCAGCTGGCGGACCCTCCCTGTGCTGTGTCCCCCAGTCCAGGGCTGGGAGGGCCTCACTTCCCACCTCCTGGAGGACCTGAGCAGAGAAGGCCGCGATTATGATGAGGGTTGAAGAGTGCCCAGCAAAAGCTTCGCCATTCGACTGGCCAACTACCAGCACCAAGACAGGCCAGTAAAAAACATCCATGCGAAGTAGTCCTCTTTATTATAAGCATTTAGCTTACTGGAATAAATAGGAGCATATCCACTGGCAAAGTAAAGCATTTTTACAAAACCCATTGGAAAGACATGGGTAGCTGGGGTGTAGATTTTCTATTTTCAATTAATTTTTTTATAAAAATGAGAACTAATTTTCAACGGCAAGATATCAGAGCAGAAGGAAGTCTTCTCCTAAGAAAAAACGCAATAGTTTACCATGATCGAATCTACCTGCTATCTGCATGACCCACGGCCCGGGCTCCATCGGAGCATCCCTGAAGCAGGGGCTGGAGCTCACAGCGGTACTAAAAGGAAGGGTCCCCAAGCATTTGTAAGGAGAGAAGCAGCGTGTCCAAGCCTGGCTTTCTCCACAGAGAAAGCAAACTTTGCTGCCACCCTCCTTCATCGGAGTGACTTGATGGTGGGCTAAGAGATGGAAAGCCATTTGGTGCCAGACACAGATGTCTTGCGTTCATTCATGACCCTGTCCCCTGGTGCTGCCATCTTTCTGTATAGTACATAAGGAAAGCCTGGCTGAAGGAGAAGCAGAGGAACTAACACTCCACCTCAGCTTCCTGAACCCAGCCTTTGCTCCAGCGACATCAGACGCACAGGCCACCAGGGGCAGGCCATGGGTTGCAGCTAACTGCCCAGGGACGAGGCACAGGGCAGCAGCTACAACCGCACGACGCTGTCCCCAAAGGCCATTTCCCTGTCATGCACGCTTACATTAAGGCTGCTAGTGTCAGAGTCCCCTGGCTACCCCCAGGCCGAACACAGTGTCTGAGTCAAAAGGGTGGGCTGCCAGGTAATCCTTGTACTCCCCGTCGAGCAGCTGGGCGGCGTTCCTGGCAAACCAGCAGTCTATCTGCTCCTCCCCATTGTAGATTTTCCTCTGTTTCCAGACCACCGGGACCCGGTGCCCCTTCAGCTGCAGGACGGTGTCGGAGCCCTCGGCTGCCTTGGGAAATGGAGAGCTAGTAGTGTTCCTGCTGAGCCCGGCAGGCTCCTCTGCGAGGCTGGCGTCCTGGTTCAGGAACTGACCTGAATGGACAAGAAAAGCATCAGGTCTAAGTCGAGGGCGGACCTCACCGTGTAGAAAAAAATCGAACTTGCGTTTAGGCCACTGGCAAGCAGCAAATGCATGCACGGCGCCCAGAGGGAGGGCAAGTCGAGGGGCCGGAGAATGACTCCTGGTTGGACTCTGCCGGAAAGCACGCGCACCGCTCCAGCTAAGCGAGAGAACACGTGTTTGGGGGCGTGTGGGCGGAGGGATCTGAGGTTTTATAGGCACAGCCTCTCTGCAAGCTGCCCGCCTGCTAACACTGGAAAGTGGCCTAACCAGCAAACAGAGAACACCAGAATCTCTTACTGAGCTGGAGGGCAAGCAGGGGGGCAGGGAAATAAGGAAGGGCCAGGCCTTCCCTCCTCCCTCCCTGGTCCTAGCACCGTCCATCCTAACTCGGTGGATTGGACTGGGCGGAGGGCGCGGAAAGCAGTCAGTCCAGTTGGTCCCTGAGACACATCATCAGAATTCTCCAGGTCAGGCGAGGACATCGCGGAGGCTCAGGAGACTGGTCTGCATTGTCGGAGGGAGCTCACGCTTGGCAGTCAGGCACCACAGAAGCGCGCCCAGCTCAAGTGCCAGGAATCCTGCTTTCTAAACCGAGCCTTGGCAGCTCCTTTCTCGTGGGCAAGGAGCCCGATGAAACCGCACGTCAAAGAAAGCCAGCCGGAGGGGATGGCCTCACCCAACGGGGCGACTCCTGTGGGAGAGACGCCCACGGCACAGCAGCGTGTGGCTGTGGACCGTGGGCTGTGGGCTGTGGGCTGCCCCTTCTGTGTATTTTCTTGCTGAGAGTAGGGAGCCAGAGGATTACTCCCACTTTCTTGGCTCCCTTTCCCAGGAGGCCAGTGAGAATTAGTTTAAGCCCAATCCTATTCCAGAAAGTCACGAGGAGGCAAGAAATACAACTTCTGTGATATGTATAAAGATCACCCTCCCACTAAACTTCTCCGTCAGGCTAAAGCTCCCGGCAGGAAAGCTTCCCTGGGGAGGGGAGTGCTCCCCTCCGACCCCACGGCAGGACCAGCTGCTCACCTAACAGTCCGTGGCAGTTGCCGGAAAGGCCTTTGCTGTTGGAGATGTAGAAGCCCAGGTGGTCTCGCTGGTAGGGGGCTGGCTTTTTGTAGAGGTGAATGAGGATGACGAAGGCAGTGGTGCCCTGGATGGTGACGGTGACGTTGGCATTGGCAGACACTGACACCTCCAGCCCCCGACTCCCCACTACCATGCTCTGGTTGCAGGGGAGGACCAGCCTGTCCCCACCATCCAAGATGACTCTGTGCGGGGTGATCTCCAGGTACGACCTCTCGGGCTTGTTGACGAGGATGGTGATGACGCGGAAGTAAGTGCGCTGTTTCTTGTGGCCATTGGGGGGAGCGGGGGCCCCGATTAATGCTCCATTCACGGTCACACCTCAAAGGCAGAGGGGAGGAGAGCATTGGTTAGAAAAACTATCCCCACTTTCATGCCAAAGGCCTCTGATCAGAATGTTCTTCCTCCTCTGGCCTTATCTTTGTATCCCTCACACCATGAACTCTGACTTGCGAGCAGAGGCCACTCAACGCCTGCTGCCCCCGTGCAGAAAGGAGTGACTGTATGACGTTTCAAGGGAATGTCCTCCCCAAGTTTGGCCAGGATCTCGTGGGAGGGAGAGGATGATACAGGTTTGGGTCAAGAGATCATACAAAGGATCTACATGTTTGTGTTCATTCTAGTGTGTCTTTCATTCTGGTTGTAGGGACCACGAGACATATTTGTTATCTCCCAGTTGCCACTGATCTAATTTGGAGACTCTGTGATGTCACTGAGCAGTGTGGCATAGTGCAGAGGTCGGAATTAGACTTAGTTCAAAAGCTCAAGTTTTTCTACCTTCTAGGTGTACACCTTTGGACAAGTCACTTTAAAACACTGAGCCTCAATGTCCTCATCTGTAAAATGGGTTATGAAACCCGACCAGACTGTGGTGAGGATCACAGCAGGTAGTGTACATGTAAACAGACTCCTTTCTTTTTCCTTCACCTTCATAAACGCTACTGCACCTTCCCTAGATTTGAGGGTGGCCTTGAGCCAGACCCCTGGCAGTCCGTGCTATCCCAAGGGATGGCAATTCTATTTGGGACTGAATTAGGTAATGCACATTATGTATATTTTGCTCTCAGGCAACAAGGCAATTTGCATTACTAAAAGATTGTTATATTATTAACTCCGTTTGCTCTACTTCGGGGATAATCTTTCCCTACATCTTGACTAGCAAGTCCTTAGATGACATTCCAGGAGAAAACTGCTTTCTCTGGGGCGAGGGGTTGGGGAAAGGAAAATCCTCAGCACGGAGATCAGGTACTTCTGCCTCAAGGCTCCAAGCATCTTCCCGAGCTCCCCCACATGAAGGGCACACTGAACACAGGGAAGAAGAAACAGCCCTGGGGTGGGGGAGCACCTCCACGGAGGGGCACAGTTAGGCCCCTACCTCACTCCTGAGTCCTTTGAGTTACAAATAAGCTGAGATCTTGCCCTGAGGCTAGGAAGACCTGCAAGGGAGCAAGGTGGGTAAGGAGCTAACAGTGAAACACTGCATAGTTACATCATCCGTGTCATTCTGCTGTTGGGACCCTCTGCCACCTAGCCTCCCAAGAAACCATTTCCTCAGAACTGAGAAATGCCAGATTGTCCACTGCAAAGCTTGTCCTCAAAAGCTGGGTTGTGTGGCTGTCCACATGGCCATCCCTGAGGCACTGTTACCTGCCTGCAAGAAGAAAGCTGTTCTTAAAAATTAATCCTCACTCGAGGACAAGCTTATTGATTTGAGAAAGAGAGCAAGAGAGAGAGAAACATCCACATGAGAGAGAAACATTGATTGGTTGCCCCCCATATGCACCCCAACCAGGATTAAACTCTCAACCTAGGTTTGTGCCCGGACCAGGAATCAAATCTGCATCCTCTCTCTGGGTGTATGGAGTCACACTCCAACCAACTGAGCCACGGGGCCAGGGCTGAGAGAAGCTTTTCATATACTAGTCTCCTTTATGTGTCCCTCTACAGAACAAGGGGATCAGAGCCCTTCTCACATCCGTGTTCTCTGCACAGAAAGTCGAGTAATTGCCCTGGCCGGTTTGGCTCAGCAGTTGGAGTGTCAGCCTGCGGACCAGAGAGTCCTGGGTTCGGTTTCAACTAGGGGCACGTACCGCCTCCCCCCCCATAAAAAAAGAAAGTTGAGTAATTAACGTCGGGCTTAACATCTCAAATTATCCAAATCTCATTGAGGAAGTTAGACACATGAATTTAGAATGTCCCACCACCATAGCTTTTGAATGGAAAGACATATAACAATAATATATCATGGATTCGTACAGCACTTGTGTGTTTACAAAACAACTTCCCATCCATTACTTAATTAGACCTCTCTAACAGACAGGTGAGCCCGGCACAGTGACTGTCACTATCTCTGTTTTACAGGGGAGACAACAGGAGCTCCCTAGTTGAGTACCCCAGGCCACACAAAGAGTTAAGTCAGAGAGCAGGGTTCCAGTGCACATCTTCCTGCCTCCAAGCCCAGCACACAGTCTAATTCCTTTCATTAATCATCAACGACCCTCACTGAGCATCTCAGACATGCCCCTTATATACCTGGGTATCGGTCGTAGGAACAGAGCAGGGCGATGCATGCTCTGCTCTTGCCCAGAGGCCGCAGCAGAGGGCAGAACTTACCGGAGCCCGCGTGATCAGAGACCAGCCTTAGGATGTCCCCAGGCTGCCCATCAATGTTGAAGCAGACCGTGAGCTTGCTCAAGGGGAAATCCACAACAAAATGGGGGTCTCCATCCGCTGCCAGAGCAGGAAAACACAGGGGAGAACAGAAAGAAAAGACATTTGTTGAGCACCCTCCATGTGTAAGTACGCTTTTATGTTTTCTTGTGTATTATTTTTTTGACCCTGTCAATGATCCTGAATGTCCAAAGGAGGAAGATGGCTGGGAGGTGAAGCCCACCAAAGTTACCCAGTTAGGACAGGGTAAAGTAAATAGTCGAGCTCAGGCCCCCTAAATTCAAATATAGTGCTCCCTTTCCCCACACCTGGGCCAAACACAGACAACTAAGCTTTGAGAGGTAAGCGGGAAACAGAGAAAAGAGAGTTATTGCCCTATACCCCCACTACTACGGAGCCCACTTTCTTCAATTTCCCCCACAATGCCAATCACGCTCTTTCTCCTTCGACTACTGAAGTGAAGAGATGTGGGTGGGAAGCCTTGCTCTCCTACGACCAGAGCGCATGGCACTGGGGACAGTCACAGCTCCAGGTGTGCACAGGCCTCGCGCGGCGGTAGTGAGGACCAAGCCCCACGGAAGGACACCGAGTCAACAGGAACACAGCTGTGTGACAGTTCTCTGAGAGTTTCTTGGGCTCACACGACATCATTTCTCTTCAAATCATCCAAATCTCTTTACGAGCAAAGGTGTTCCTCGTTCAAAAACTAGAGGATTGGCCTGGAAGTCACTGCTCCACGCAGCGTCCAAGAGGAAGGTGTCCTTGCGCTCCGTCAGCACTGCGTGGTCAGAGGAGCTGCACTCTCTCCACGGAGACTGTGCGTCTCCTGTCTCCCCAGCTCCTCTCGAGGATGTCCTTGGCGTCATAACGTGCACGTCCGGCATGTCAGCAGCAAGACGTACAAAGAAATGTGTACATTTTAGGAATCCAAACCAGCCCTTGCTGTTATTCCACCTCGATTTTTATTATAATTCCAGAAAGTTGGCCAGAGGAAAGTTTATGCTATTTTTACCTGTTCTTCCCTCTAAACACAGGATTAAAAAAAATAATGAAATAATTTCTGTAGAACCTGCATGTTGCAGATGTTTGTAACACCAGAAGCGGGAAGCAGTACACCTCAGATTTCAAAACAAACATCTTTTGAACTTCATAATGATGGGACCGTGAGTCTGCTCCCCATCCTTCGATCGGGCTGTGGCAAGGCTCCTCGAGACTGTCATCCACGGCATTTATATAAAGGCTCAGTGTTGAACCTGGTTCTCAGGACTGCCTTACACTGCTACCATGGGCTAAGAAATCGGGGTCCTGGTGTCATTTAACCGGTTCAGGGAATTCCTGGCTGTCCACTTTCTAAACATATAAATTCACAAATCACATAAGCTGCCTTCTTTACCTGATGTTTTGGAGACTTTAATTTTTGGGTTGTATGGTTTCTTTAGAGCAGATCCTATACAAGAAAAGAAAAAAGACAGTCACTATTATTCATTAAACAGGATGAAGTGAGGGGTACAAAGATGAGAGGGTTGAGATGAGTAAAATATAGCTCTCAGATACATTCGTGGCAATTAAAAACATCTGTTTTAGCCCAGTCGGTGTGGCTCAGTGGTTGAGCGTCCATCCATGCACCAAGAGGTCACCGGTTTGATTCCCGGTCAGGGCACATGCCCAGGTTGTGGGCCATGTGGGTGGCATGCAGGAGGTGGCCAATCAATGTTCTCTCTCATCGATGTTTCTATCTCTCTTTCCCTCTCCCTTCCTCTCTCTCTAAAATCAATAAAGAAAAAATATTTTATTTATTTATTTATTTTCTAGGGCCTCAATCAGAATAACTTGGGCCCCCAAGAAAAAATGTTTTTAAAAAACATCTGTTTTAAGGAAGGAGCTTGGCGTCACAACACACAAATGAAGGTGTAACATGTGGAGGTTTAATTATTTTATAAATCTGATAATATTCTTTTTGTCTGTGATTTCTGTGCAGATAATGGGGGAAACTATTCTATCGTGATTAAAGTATAGTTATGGGAAGAAGGAAAAAGTGCTCTTATTTAATGGGTTCGGAGTTTCAGATTTGCGAGATGAAAAAGTTCTGTTTCACAACATCGATATACTTAACATTACTGAACTGTACACTTACAAATCGGTAAGATGGTAAATTTTATGTTACACGTTTTTGTACCACCATTTTGAAAACCTAGAAAAATGCAAAAATATAGAAAAAATTTAGAATCCAGTGTCTATCACTATGTGTGTAAACACAATTCATAAAGCAGCAGGCAAAACAATTAAAGAATAACCTAAAAGTAAATTAATGTCTGCAAAAGAAATGACACTAATACCTTATTGCAACGTGTTTGTATTAACAAGACTGTGCTCCTCTTCACTGGTGTTTGCCCCTCCCAGAAATGGAAGATCAAAGCATCTCACTGTGTCTATGTGCCCGTTTTTCCCACACCAGCCCCTGGCCAGCAGGACACGGGCAGATCCTGGCAGACCGCAGAGGAGCAACTTTCCAATCAGGTTGGCGGCTGTGAGAAGCCTTGGGGAGTGGCAGCTACCACAGTCACTCACAAACACTAAAATTACCTTGAAAAACTCATCACAACTTAAAGAAAAGATTGTCTGGAGTCCTAACTGATGCTTCAGGAAATTCCTGTTCCAAACAACTGCTTTGAGCCATCCGTGGGTTATTTGTTCACATGGCTATTCCATCGCATCACACACCTTGCTCTTCATCAGAACTGAAATTGCACTGGTTTTGCCAAGACAAGCTCCACTCTCTCTAAGAAGGCAACACGTCACTTTTAACCTCTACATCAGGGTCCGAAGTTTTCAGTACATTTCTAGTTCTCCATTCCTCAAAGGAGAGAGTATCTAACATTTGTAGAACACTCCCGTGTGCCAAAGACTTTACACATGTTATCCTTGCAACAGCCCTTCAGGGGAGTTATTATCTACGTTTTATAGGTGAAGGAACAGAAGCTCAGAGAGGTTCAGAAACCTGCCCTGAGCCACACAGCTGCTCAGGATGGTTGGTAAGCTGAAAGTCAGCTCTGCCTGGACCCTAAACATATGCTCTCTTCACCATACCCGGTGCTTCTCAGGGTTTAGAGTGTGAGGAGTCAGTGAGACAGCATTTGTAGTTCCTGGGGTGACATCGGTTCCCCCTTCTGAGACAATGTGAACTTGACAGGAATTTAGTGAAAACATTACACACAAATAAAAGCCGTTTGCCACAAACAGATATTACTGAGAATAATCCTCAGCTTTGTTTGAATTGTTTTGCTTCTCCTCTTCCTGTTCTCATCACTACGAATTCCCCGTCAAGACGGCACCGAGAACGACAATGATGGTTACTGTTTATATTCCAAGTGGCACGTACATCACGGGTGAATTCTCTCCCGAACCCAGAAGCTATCCTCACCTGTGTTCTCAGGAAAACGCAACCCGGCATACACACAAAATGACCCGACTCCGAAGGATTTCACAATGTGGAAAGGCGCCTGAAGATGAACAGTGTCTGCTCGAGCACCTCGGAGCCTGGCGAACGGGAGGCCTCAGGACGGGTGACCGTCTGGCAGACCGACTTCACCAGGCGACCTTCCTGAGACAACCGCCACCTCCTCTAATTTCTCTACAGGGACCCACAGTTTGTAACAAAACCAACACAACAACTGAACACACACCCTGGAAACTAGATGCTGCATGTGGGGTGACTGCTTATAAGAACTGCAATAGCACCGGATGGAACAGAGCACCCCGGAGGTGGCGCTGGCCTGGCGGGGAGGGACTCGGTAGGCGCCCGGATGTGGCCATCCCCGGAGTCCGTTACCTGGCTGTGCGCTGGACCCTTGCAGGCTCTGCATCACTGTCCCGGGCCCCGTGGCAGCAGACACGCCGTGGCTGTCCTCCAGCTTGCTCATCTGCAGCGAGGACTCCTTCAGCTTCAAGGAGGTGAACGGGGTGAGGAAGCGAGAGCTCACGGCCAGGGTCTGGGCCTTCTGCCTCAGTCGCTCCTTCTCCTGCTCGTCGTCGCTCTGCAGCCAGGAACTCAGCAGCTCCTTCACCGTCAGGTAGCTCCAGAGACGCTCCAGGTGGTTGGGGTCCTCCTCGCTATCACCCTTGGGCCTGGCACTTCCGGTGACGTCATTCCCCGCCTTCTGGGGCCCCAGGGGGACATCAGTCTTCAGTATGACAAATTTCTTACTGTTGCTGGCTGTGACTTGCACGTGTAAGCGATCCATCTTCTTGTCCACCAGCTTCCCGGCGATGATGATCTCGGAGCCATTGAAGTAGTTGGGGAAGAGGGTTCTGGTAGCCTGCTCCACGAGGCTGGGTGGGTAATCGATGCGGATGTCCGAGAGCAGAGGGGTCCTGATCTCATCATAGAACCTGGAGCAGAAGAAGAGAGAACGAGAGTCAGGACCCAGCCCTGACCGCAGGCAGACAGCTCCTAAAGGAAACTGCGGGCTGTCGGGGGGCAGACCCGTTCTTAGGAACAATCAAGTCCAACATTCTACCAGCAGAACATTTCTGATAGGAGGTTGTGCAGCAGTAGCTTCAATACCACTGGTGACAGGGAACTCGCTGACTCACAAGGCTCCCTTCTCTCTTTCAACTGCTCTGAGGAGGAGGAGGAAATTCCTTGTAGTAGCAATCTTCTCCCTGCATGTTTCCACCCACTGGTCTCACTGTTGCTTCTGGGACAGCACAGCATGAATGAGCCTAAACTGTCTTCAACATGACAGCCCTTTAGGTGCTGACAAACACTGCAGGAGTCATGCAGGCTAATCAATGCCCCGTTTCATGAACTATTCTTCAGGTGATACAATCTCACGGTTCCCTGACCACTCTGGGTAACTTTCCTTGGTACACACAGGAAAGGGCCTCTTAAAACATTTTTCTTAGAGCCAATCACATTACACTTGAGAAATCCGACCTTGACTGTGCCCCATGCTTTTGCATAATGCAGCGTTTGCTTATATTAGCTTTGCTTCTAGTTGTGTCACAACGGTTGCTACTTTCTGCGTAAAGAGAATTAAAATCCCTTTCCAAAGATCAAGAGAGCACAGGCTGAGGAGTTAGACTTCCATCTCAGCTACTTACTTGCTGTATGTCTTGGAACACATAACTTGACCTCTCTGAACTTCAGTTTCTTCCTCTATAAAATTGGAATGTGAACAGTAACTACTAATGGTCTCCCCAGACCCAGTCTCCCCTTCTTTCATAATAATTTAGTTTTAACTTGGTTGATGCCCATTCAGCTACAAACTACATTTCTTAGCCTCTATTGTGGCCAAATATGGCCATGTCCTCCCCAATGGAATATGAGTAGAAGTGATATGCACACCTTCTGCAACACTTGCTTAAAATAAATGGCTTGCTCTGGCTTCCTTTTCCTTCCCTACTTTTAGTGCTGGAATACAGAAGTGATTGTGACCTCATTCAACCTTGCAGTAAGGATAGCACTTAAGGGTGCAGAGTGGTAAAATAGAAGGAACCTGAGTCTCTGAATGACCTCATGGAGCAGAAATGAGCCTGCCCAGACTGTTACAGAAGAGAGTCCTCTGCACGGCAGCTTAGCTTCACCCTAATATACCCACTCCTAGGATTTCTGGGAGGATCACATGAGATAATGTAGAAATGCCTGTCATATTTTAAGTTCTCATTAAATGGTGAGAATATTTGTAGCAATATGACATTGCAGTTGATTGTTTCAATATACTTGCTTTTGCTAATGAACACATTATTAAATTAATGCATTAGAATCTCCCTCTTTGAATGTAGTTTTGAATGATTTTGAAAACGCAAGAAGCTAATCTGTGTGGGTTTTTTTAATCCTTGACAAAGATGCTGGGGAAACAATGGTGGCGAGCTCTATCCCAAGGACCTAATCTTTATTGTCCATCGCAGAGACCACCAAGTAGATTTTTCATGAATGAGTGTTCTTTGATGATGGCTATTAAACACCTGTAAGTGTACCTAAAGCTCACTTTTCCTTTAAAGTATCTACTACATATGCCACAAAGTGGATTAAAGCAAGAATGCTGAACTGGGAGTCAGCACATCATTGAATCAACAGCAAAACTATGCCCCATGTTTGACAACATATCAAAGGAAAGGCATTGAACTGAACTGGAAGACCTCAGTTCTATTTCTTCTCTACCTCGTGTGTGTGTGTGTGTGTGTGTGTGTGTGTGTGTATGTATTTGTGACTAGTGTCAATTGGTCATTTTGCTTCCAAATAAAAATATGATCATTTTAATTACTACTCAATGTGGAGATAACACTACTTCTCCTAGCTACTGCCCATGGTGGAATCAGAATAAATATACCAGAAAGTGTTTTGAAATGTCAAGAAGACAATTATAACGAGAAAAGCTAATTGACCACCTAACACGTGATAGCCATTCTGCAATACTTTACACAGGTTTTCTCATTCAATTCTGTCAAGTGACCATAATCCTCACTCTATAATGAAGGAACTTAAAATCTTGCCTAAAGTCACAAAGCAGGACCAGAATTTGCAGCCAGACCTGCCTAATGGATTTCAAACCCCATGATGACACCTCCCAGTGTGATGAGTTAAGGTCATTTCCAGTAGACTCGAGGTTAAGGTGCAGCAAACTATCCACATTTCTGAGTCTCTCTTAAAACCCAACTCTCAACCCCCTCCTGAGAACCTCTCATCATTGTCCCAAGAAGACAAACGGACCCAATGAGCTGTGAGCCTGCGTCCTCCTCCTCGTGAACGCGCCGTGTGAGGCCACAGTTCTCCAGGGACAGCTTCTCCAGCAGTTTGAAGTCCACGTCGTTCCCGATGCCGATGGTGAAGATGCAGACTTGGCCTCGGGCAGCCTCCTTAGTGTTGTTGAGAATCTTGAGGGTGTGGGTCTCCCCAACGGTCGGCTTCCCATCGGTCAGGAAGATGATGAGGGACACGCTGCGGTCTTCAATGTCATTGTGGGCCACGTAGTTGTTGAGCAGCTGGATGCCCCTCTGCAGGGCCCCGTTGATGTCCGTGCCTGTGGGACACCAAAACGGGACAGCTCAACCTTGTGCTCGCCTCAGTGCCCTGGCTGCACATTCACCGCTGTGGTTCACTTGCAACCACTCAAGAATTAGCAGGAGTGACATGTGGGGAAAGGGGAGAAGCCCCCCCTCCTCCCGTCAGGCATATGGGCTGATTCTAGGTTACACGGCCTGTCTAGAAACTGGGCAAGTATTTACTAAGTACTTTAAATATTCTAACTCATTTTATCCTAATAACAGCTCCATTATTATTCCCATTTTACAGATGAGGACACTGAAGCCTAGAGAGATTAAACGACTTGTGGATGGTGGAGTTGGATTTGAATCCTCACAATCGGGCTGCAGAATATACCATGTTCCCAACCCTGGTGTGACACGTCTTTGAGGAGCAGATTAATTTTCTGTCCATCTGCAGAGGCCGGGGCAATGAAGTGCCGAGAAAAAATAAAGGGACCCATAAGGTTCTAAGGTTTAGATTCTAAAAGAACATAATACAAATCAGCTGTCTGCTAAAGCTTTATCCCCACCTCCAATAACATTCTAACCGTAAGCAACACCATTAAAATAAGTTCAATTAGCAAATATTTGCTGAGCACACACCACATGTCAGGGGCCAGGAGATACAGAAAGATGAAGAAGAGTTTCTCCCCTCGAGGACTACCCAGTCTTGAGTTCCTGCCATAGATCAATGTTATAATATTAAATCTAATCTGTTATTTCTCCTGTCGACTAGGACTGAACTTTGACTTAAAAATGGGCTTTCCTCCCAGTCTCCATAGCAGTGAGGTTTCGGAACTCTTTCCTAGTCGACAGGAGAAAGTTCAGTCCAAGCAAGATAAAGTTCCAAGTAAAATTCATGTGGGAAATCAGAGCTTTGTCTTGGAGAGGAATTGATGAATGTAAGAAAGATGAGACATCTCAGATGGAAGGAGACTGAACTTTATGTTTCCAGTTGACACCCAAAGCAGAACCACCGAGACAACAAGAGATGGTGTCTCCGTACATGGACTTTAAGAAAGGGGGGGGAGGGGAGGGTTGGGATCAGTTCCAACAAACCCTCCAATACTAAGCACCTGTCATGTGTCCACTGCACTAGTGACAAAGTTGACAGCAAGAGTAAGACCCAGGCCCCTAGAAGAAGGAACTTACTAATCTAGCGCAGCTGGGTAACATTAGCGTACTGTTCTGTTAGTCTAGTTTTCTTAGAATTCTTTATGACCTTTCCCTCCTCTGCACACTCACCTGGGCACCATACCCAAGCCAAGTGTGCGGGGACTCGGAGTCCGACGCGCTTTCCACCCGCGGTGTCGCCAGCCCCCTGGGGCCCTGCTCTGCTCAGGTTTCAGCCCTGCCGAAGGACTGGGGGCGCAGCTGGGCACTTCCCCCTGCTGCTTCCTAAGGTGCCCAGATTCAAGCACACAGAACACTGACTCATCTGTTTGGCTTTAATTCCACACCCTAAAACAATCTACAGAAACGGCTTCCTTGCTCGGGATCCGTGCGATAAACCAGGAGAGGCTCCAAACCCTATCGGGTATTTCCCCCCATAACTTACTTGACCATCTCAGTTCGGGGCCTGGAAGAGGAGAATTCACAGGATCGGTGTCCAGGGAAACATAAGCTTCTGGGAAAGCTCTTAGCTGTTATCTCCTTTCCTGTGATAGCTTCGGCATTCAAATCCTCATCTCTTGGCAGAAAATTTAGCTACTCACTTATTATCCCGTCAGAGCTAACGTGAAAAGGAGGACTCATATTTACCTCCAGTGGGCGACATGTGGTGAATGTAGACTTTGCCGTCTCTGATATTGTTGGGAGTCACTGACACCAAATGGTCCTTCCACACTTTGATCCGGTTGGAAAATCCAATGATATTGAAGTGATCCTGGGGTCGGAGGTCATGGAGGATTGTGAAGAGGGCATCCTTGGTCTAGGCAACAAAACAAAACAAAACCAGTCACACCAACCACATTAGTCCACATGTCCCCTGGCTTAGAAACTGCTCACCGGGAACACTTTCATGGTTAAAATTAAGTGCCTACTATATAAACAGCACTTGGATAGACGTCCAAGTAATGATCCAAGTAATGATCGTTTGCTCTTTTTTCCTTACTATATTGTAAGCTCTTTGTAGGCAAGTTCCACTCATCTTTGTAAACTCCCAACATACAGGAGGTACTATAGAGATTTAGTGAATGAACGAACGAACGAATAAATGAATGAATGAGCCATTCATGAATTAGAAGATTGAAAGTACAAATAATAAATATCCTAGGCATTTAAAAAAGTAAACAGAACTGGGCTGGAGTGACCTTAGAAGACTTCACAGAGAAGCAAGGTTTGAGTCTGAGGCTTAAAGGACTGGACAACTTGAGAGACAGGGAGGACAGTCTGAAAAGAAGCCAAGACGACCAGCGGGGTGGCTTCCGCAAAGCCCAGAGGGGACGCGAGAGAGTCTGGAGGTGCTGAGTGGATACGTGGCATAGGGAAAAGACATGGCTGTGGAAGGAAGAAAAAGACCATATGAAACTGAACACAGAAAAAATCTGGGAGCCTGGACAAGAGTTTCTGAAATAACCGACCATGTACTGAAAGAAAGCAATCTTCTCTAAACAGCATTGTTAGACATTTAGAGAGATTCGTCATATGAAGTAAGGAGCACGCGTTACATAATGGCCTTAACAATGACATCTGGCAGCTTTTACAGTGATTGAGAGCACAGACTTCAGAGCAGGTGGTCTGGCTTTGACCCAGGACCCGTCCCCTACACTCTGTGTGGCCCTGGGGCCCTGGGTAGTAAGTTCTGTCACTATCTTGTTTTTCTTTTTTTTAATAGTTTTATTTATTTATTTTTTCTTTACTGATTTTAGAGAGAGAGGAAGGGAGAGGGAGAGACAGAAACATCCATGAGAGAGAACATCGACTCGCTGTCTCCTGCATGCCCCCCACTGGGGATCGGGCCCACAACCTGGGCATGTGCCCTGACGGATTCGAACTGGCGACCTCTGGGTGCATGGGTCAACACTTGACCGCTGAGCCACACCGGCCGAGCGTTATCTTGCTTTTTGCACTGTGCCTAAGTTATCACACCTGTAAAAGTCAGACAGTAGCAGTTGTCATGAGGGTTAAGTAGGTTACTATGTGGAAGGTGTTCTCCACGGGGCCAGGCACACGGTGAGTCCTGCGTGTGTGTGTTCTTACTCGCCAGCGGCGGGAGGCCGCAGAGTCAAGGAGAAACAGCCGAGTCTGAAGTGCTGGCTGCAGAAGGAGGCGTGCTAAGGAACTCTACGGCCGCCCTGAGCTTTCCGTAGGCCTCTTCCCAGACTCCATGACTCGCAGCCTTTGCTTTACAACCAGCTTCAGACCGTACCGCTCCTCACACTGCACCTCTGCTTCTCCGTGTGAACCACCACGACTTCTTTCCCTCCTCACGCTCCCTCTTCCCGCCTCTGCCTTCCTCTTCATCCCTGTACCCAACTGCTCACTCCAGCGTCCCAGTGTCCAACCCTTGGGTTTCATAGAAACCCCAAAATCCACTCTAGAACACTAACCCGGGTGTATTTATTTTTAAATCTGTATATTGCATTCTTTTAGTAAACTTGTAGTTTCTAGCCTAAGCAAACAGACGCTAGCTTAACATTCTCCTTGTGGCCCCTTCCTGAATGAATACCTGTGCCTCAGTTTCCCCCATATCTTCATTCCCAGGCTGAGAAAGCAGTGGAGTGAAATAATATCATTAGAAGCATAATGATGATGACCACGGCAGCTAACACTTCTGGGAGCCTTCTACTCCCCTTTTCCTAGGTTGAAGTGATGGGCCCTTTAATCCTCACAACCCACCCGATGTAAAGTGACTATTAATATTCCCATTTTACAGGGGAAGCGACTGAGGAATGAAAGGGTTAAGCACCGCGTCGCAGGGAGCCTGGATGAACACCCAGGAAGTCAGACTCCAGGGCCAACCCTCACACCAGCAGCAGTGAAATCTCAGCCCCAAGGCGGCTGGCGCTGAGTGTGCGCTGAGTTACAGCCTTCATAACGTGCAGTTCATTTTGGGATTCCTTCCAGGTCCCTGCTTGTTGACGGGCTCTGTTTATTTCTTTGTTTCTTTCACTTGGTTTCTGGCAGCAATTAATGGATTCATTTCCTATAACATCCTTGCAGAAAGCATCCACCCGGGGATGAGAACAATGAACACATTTCATTAAATCCATCCTCTCGGCTACAGGGGGTTGTCCCACCCTCCCAACTGCCCCCAGTTCTTCCGTGAGAAAGAATGGCAATGGCGAGGCTTATTTTCACTCAGAGTCCGGGAATCCCCCTCCAGCCTCCGTTCGCTCCTCTGGTGCTGGGCCTTCCTCCTCCTGCCCCACCACACCAGGTTGTCCAGGGGGCAGGCTCACCGGCAGCTGAATTTCCTGTTCTCTCCCAACACTGACTCCCACCTTCAGGAAATGTGTCTACGGATCTAGTGGAAATAAGCAGAATCCACACCCAGAATTTGTCAGCCCTGTCTGGACGCCACTGAAAGTCCCTTTGAAGCTCTGCCCCTCTGGCTTCCCTGGCACTGCCCGGGATGCCCCCTCTCTGAACGGTCCTCCCTGCCCTTGCTGGCGCCTCCCTCTCGACCAGCCGGGATGCCCACATACTTCCCCGGGGCCAATAATTGGATGGCTGGCTTCCACGCTTATCTCCAGAGCTCACCACTCTCGTGAGATCCAGACCAGGCCGCCAACATGTGTCCCCGCGTGTCCACAGGCACTCAGATTCCACACGTTGAAGGTCCGAGGCTTCGTCTGCCTTTCTACCCAACCTTTCCTCCCTGCTGCGCCCAGCCACCCTCTGGTCCAGCCGGAAACCAGACGTCAGGGGGCGGCTCCTCCTGCCCTGTCTCAGCCTCCGTGCTCGGGGCGCCGGACCCGGCAGTCCACCTGCCTTTGTCAGCCTCTCCTCCCAAACACCCGCGACGGGGGCTGGGCGCGGACTGGCGCTGCCCACACTGACAACAGATCCTCTTTCTTCTTCTGCATTTTTTCTTAATATCAAAAAAAAGATTCATTTTTTTCTTTAAAGATCATAAGAAAAACACGTAAGACACAGAACTCCGCTCACCCAGAGACAGCCAGTATTGAAGTATTGTGCCTACCCATTTAGGGGCTTTGCTGTGTGTGCGCGTGTGTGCGTAATTTAAGTAATTTAAGTAAAATGGGCTCACACATGCTATACAGTTTGTATTTACTATTTCATATACCGTTTTTATGCCCATAGATAAATGTCTACATGTCATTTTTAGAGAAAGGAAGGGAGAGAGAGAAAAAATGTCAATCAGTTGCCTCCCTCACACATCCCGACCCGGGCACATGCCCTGACCTGGGATTGAACCGGTGACCCTTTGGTGTACAGGACAGCGCTCAACCAACTGAGCCCCACAGGCCAGGGCTACATATCATTTTAATGGCAGAATTATAGTCTACCATATGCACCCGCCATAATTAAATATTTCTGAATATCTAAGCAGTGCTTCTGTGAAAGTTAGTATTCACACACTTTGCGCCCACTGCTAGTTTCTCAGGGTAAATTCCCTGCACGGAATTGGTGACAAAGGGCTGTACTCGCTAAAGGAGTTGCCGGTCCTCACCCTGAGGCCAGTCACGCTTTCAACCCTTCCGGCAGTTAGTCCTAGGCTTGCACCTCGTTTCCGAGAAGAGTCCTTCTGGCCCCTCACCGCACCCCGCTGTTGTCTCAGCACAGCACCTGCTCTCTTCCTCCACAGCACTTCCAGAGAGCATGTAACTACATACTGTGCATTTACTTATGTATCCAGCTCAATCCTCTGCTTCCGAGGGGAGGGATTTATCCATTTGTCATTGTACTTTATTTATTTATTTATTTATTTATTTATTTATTTATTTATTTATTTTAATCCTCACCCAAAGATAGTTTTCCATGTAGCTTCAGACAGAGCAGGAGGGAGAGAGGGAGGAAGACAGAGAGAGAGAAACATCAATGTGAGAGACACATCAATTGGTTGCCTCCCGGGGATGAACTGCAACGGAGCTACATGCCCTTGGCCAGAATCAAACCTGGGGCTCCTTGGTCTGTGGGCTGAAGCTCTAACCACCGAGCAGGGCTTGTCACTGTACTTTAATACAGAGTGGCACCTGGATGCACAGCAGATGCCTGACACATGCTTCCTGAGTCTGTGGATGGTGAATACATTGTCTGTCTGTCCCTAGATAGGGTGCTCCTCAAGACAGATGTCCCCTTGCCTCCCCCACCCTCCCATCATGGTATTTCACACGCTGTAGGCTTCTGGTCGAGATCTGGTGAATGAGTGAATGAGAGAGGTTGAGTTCTATTCAGTGACTACAAGGGAGTAAGAGGTGCGGCCCCGTCCTCGAGAACCTAGGGCAGAGGATACTGAGAACGGCAAGGGCAGGAACCATGGAGCTGACAGGCAGACGGTGCTCAAGGAAAAACAAAGAAGTCTGGTAACTACAGTAAACAGATGTGGGTGGGGGGCCCTCGGTGTTGACGCTGATGGCAATAGCCAGGGAGCTGGCCACTCTGTCTCCTCCCCCTTCCTTCAAGTTAGAGCCAACATAGCCCGACGTGAGCAGCAGACAGGCTCGGCGTTCTTCCCAGCCGAAGGGTCTGGACCTCTGGAAAGGCTGAAGGTCCACAGCTGTGACAAGGCAACAGCAGGCAGTGGCCGTCCCTGAGACGACACCATTGGGAGCCCCGCTCTAGGCACTTGGGAATGTTCCCACTGCTCCCTGTTGGAGCTCAGAGCTGGCCAGGCCCCCTGGGCGCAGGCGCGGATGAGGGGAAACTCCTCAGAAGAGTGTTATTTGTTTAGCCCCTGGCATCCTTAAGGATCCTTAAATAGTGTGCTCAAGACCTCAAGAGGGGTCACCTTGGCTCCGTTGC